TAGTGGGGCATTTCGGGTCTAATATGGGAGATAGATAAAACACGAAGAATGTCCTACTTTTATTTGTTGATTATTTTCTCTACACTCTCTTTCCAACAAAAAAATTCAAACGAAGATTCTTAACTCGGAAATTTGCAACCAATGGAGGGTGAAAATGGACCCGTCCACCATCTAATTTTTTTAAATAGTAACCCAATGATACTTAAACTGTTTAATGATACCCAACAAAAGCTGTTCTTGGTGACCCTTGTTGTGTCTGGAGCACTTCTGTCCACTTGCCGCGCTACCCTCCGATCACCAGCAAAAACATCATCACCATGCTTAAATACTCAAAGACCACTAAAGGTAGGGTAATTAGCCAACAAATAAAACACTCAACCTTTCAATCAACAAAAGCCAACCTGAAAAAAACAAAAAGCAGAAAAAGATTGTCCGGAACAGGCAATCTTCTCCGCAAACATTATATAAATGTTCATTTTACGTTTTGTAATGTTTTTGGTCGTTCTTATTTTCTTTAAAATCTTTAATGTTTTTGTTCTTTTTGTTTCAAAATAATTTTTTTTCGGTATTTTTTTATTTATTCATATATTTATGGCTAGTTTTACGCTTGCTCTCGAAAGTTTTTGGTCCCAGTGACTTGGAAAAAACGGGCTCTTTACTTCCCACTTAATGCTCCGACCCCGGAAATTTCGGTCTTAAGTAGGTTAAAAAGTTAAATTGAACTAGTCGGAGGGTCCAAGGTTTCCGGCTATTACAATACCGGACAATAAGGTCTCGAGTAATTGCTTAACTCAGGTATTTGCTCGTTGAGAAGGCTTTGCCACTAAACCATACGCAGATTTTGGTGGTCTAATGCTTTAAACAGGCCAAACCAGGAGGGCCATATGTAGCATTCACCCAGAGTTTAAGCAGCAACGCACAATAGAAAATCAGTTACGTCAGTTACAATAAATCTAAGCGTTTATTACTATCTTGACTCACGCAATTGATTTTCGACCTGGCCGTCTCGACCCAGCCAATTGATGAAAAAAAAAACATACTTGGGGTTCACGGATCCGCAGACGTCGTGATTACTAAAAAAAAAACAAGGCTTGAAACAATAATTTTAGATATTTTTAGTGTCAGTTGTTTATCGGGTTCTATAGATATTGATCGACTCGTTCCTCGTCCTCAACTACTCTTGCTCTGAAGTAATAATGAAAATGGAATTCAATTCAATCGTTCAGGAAATCACAGTAGGTAAAATTTACCAATTGTTTTTCAAAGAACTACCAGGCGCCAGGCCTCCAATTCCGCTTTCATCAAGAGATAGCTACTTATTTTCTGCCTTTCTCTACTCGGGAGGATTCAGTTCCGCCCAAAATACGGCACTCAAGCCTCCGGCTCTATCTGATTACTTGATCAAGTGTCCTATCATTTACGCAGCAAATAAAACAGCGATTTCATTTTTTCTGAGAAAAAGAAGCCCTCTTTTGCTTGTCAACTTCAATTCAAAAGCGCTTGTACCGTGTTTTTTTCTGACACGGAGAGTTTGGCTGTGCCATCCGGGAGATTGACACAAGTTTTAGATAGTCCAAACAACCAATTTAAATGGTTAACACTGGAGACATAAATATCATGAAAGTGAACCTAGGCATGAACACGCTCGATGAATTTACAAGCAGGGAGTTGATTCTTTTAGTCTAAAATTATTTTTGTTTCTTAATTGAAAAACCTACATGTCTAAACCACCATTTTGACTCAGAAACTAAATAAATAACAATTTGAAGTCTTTTAAATCACTTTAGATGTTGTAAATACGATGAGAACCAAAATGAAGGAACCGATTGTTTTCAAATCCAGAAAGCTAAAGACCTGCCTACCATCATTAAAGTCTTCTCTTTCGAGTGAACTTAAATCAAAAGTGGCTTACAAGATTTCATGTTTTGGATGTAACTCCCCTATTTTGGCCAAACGATCCGACATCTAACCACTCAAATAGACGTGAAACTCACCCGTAGGACAACATTTAAGGCTGCATGGAAATGAGGGCACGAGCGTTGAAATTTCATGGGAGTTTATAGCCATGCTGACAACAACTTCAAGGTACTGACATTAGAAGCCTCACATCTGGAAGGAGAGACCGAAAAAAAAACAAGCGCGATGAGCTCAGCAGCAGCGAACTGACCCTCAAGTTATAGTTCCGAAATTGAATTTTCAGCTAATACAATAATAAGAAATTTTTGAAATAAAAAAATGACGTTTTTTGAAATTTGGAAAATGGTAAAAATCGAAAATTCAATTGTAATTTAATTAAAAGACAAAAATCAGTAGAATATCTCAGAAACTGAAGACTGATGATATAATCTTGATGTAATTTCGGCGCGAATTCCACTTTTGCAAATTTTTGATCTGTTGAATTTTTAACTTTTTATATAGCCATTGTAACATTCGCCCGGAAGTACATATCGACGGAAAATAATTCTAAGTTGTAAAACGACTGGCTAGCGTCTAAACACAGCTCTACATGCTTTTAACCGTCTCTACCAAAGCCAGTTCTTTTGGTGGTCTTTCTATCATCGGGTCGACAAAAACTTTACTGCTTTCGGCTTCGATCAGAAAACTCTAATTAAATTAACTCAATGCAGAAAAAGTGAGCTCATGGCTGGGTCTCAGTATCCCCAGACCACGAGGTCACGCCTAAAAGCAGGGCTACTTCTTATTTAAAATTTTACTATTGTTTTTGTCCAACAGATAAAAATCATCAATCGCCTCAGAGATGGATCAACCCATTCCCTCAACTCCTAGCTTCTCATTATCTGAAAACGAAAAGATGTTATTAATTTAATTCAGGAAATTCTAGGAAACTAGAAGTTGTTACAATTAAATTCAAGTTCTCTTCCCGAGACCCTTCCGGATTCTGGAATCCGGACAAACAGCGGTCTTCTCCTCCTTCCGGAAGGCTGGCACAGTCCCAATACCCTTCCTGTCTCTCGGTCGGGAAATCTTTAGTAACGCTTATGCAGTTAGAATCGTTGCAACTCGGAGTGGTCTTCCAACGATAAGCTCGATTGCAATTTCAATTTGAATCGTACGATTGTCGTTCACGTCGTCTATTTCAACGATTATTGTTCTCCTGTTTTTTCTTGTGTTCAGTTGTCGCGAAATTTCAAAGCCTTCATGTGTCTTTTTTTTTGAAACGATTTTTAAAAATTTATAACGTCACGCCAAACTGACCATTCCTGATTCGTTAAATCGTTCGATTATTACTGCTAACACTATTTCAGTATTAATAGTGTTAGCAGTATTAATCGAACGATTTAACGAATCAGGAATGGTCAGTTTGGCATGACGTTATAATTTTTTAAAAATTGTTTCAAAAAAAGCTCCCTTTATCACAGCCTGAAAGATCCTGAGCAAGAGGAACGTAGAGAGACGCAGCAGAAGGTCTACGCAGTCCTCGGCCTTTCTTTGAACCCCAACACCTTGAACAGGGGAAGGATTTACGAGTGTAATTAGAACTGCAACCTCTGCCCAGTAAGCAGATTATTATCTGGCACGACGTGCTGAACAACAGCATATCCTCACATCGCACGAACAACTATACGCCCTGCCCACTTGACGAACTACTGGCGTATTTACAATCAAAGCGAAGACAAATTAGTGGCATTGTCTACTGCAGGAGAACGGGCACTCCCGATATTTTTGAGGATCTGCGGAAGACAGAGATAATCGTCAAAAAAACAACTGGTAGCCTTATCTCTAGAAGGAAGAGACAGAATCCTGCTGTCCTCAGAGAGTATCTTCAACTGCACCAGTCAAGTGAATTGGAGTTGAAGTCACTACGGGTGGTGCTGTCCCATCGAGACCACCTGCCAAGCATCTTCTCAAGGATACGGGCCCAGACCAAAAAACCATCGCAAGGACGCCGCAGGGCAAAGGCGCGGAGAGCGGAGGTGTTGGCTGGCGACCTCCAGTCGGAACCAAACGACCAATAGGGGGTAAGATTTTGTTGTGGCTGTTTTTTCTTTGCTGAGTGCCACATGAGTTTAAGTGCTCGTGGCCTGCAAAGAACAGATGACCGCAATTTTGCTGCCACCACCACTCCTTAGAATGGTCCCAAAAAGAAAACTCACTTGGAAACTTGTATTAGATTATTTAAAACATTTTAATAAATTTAATAGCAGTTTCCTGAGAATTAAATTTCTGAGAAAATATCTCGATAACGACATTATACCAGACTTTTTACGGTTTCGCGTGACTGATAACGGTGTTTTTTCGATTCAAGCGGTGCACAGCTTCCAACTGAGACTCTTAAGATCTGAGCTCAGCCAGGCAAATGCGGATAGGGCCAAGGCAACGGGTAACCTAGTAAAAGCAAGAGAGGTAGTGAGAAGGGGTATAGATGAGAAGTGGTGGCCTTCGGTAATATTCTATTTGAACCGGCAAGCAAGGTGTAGTGTCAATAACCTGATAAGCCGACACAAGAGAAAGCTTGAAAAACTTTCGGAAAGACAGGATAGACTATTAAAAAACTTGGATGAAAGGGCAGTTATAATTTTAGATGAAGTGATTTTGCCGCTTTGGGTGCGGGAAGTCTTAAGTTTTGGACCAAAACATCCGGTACGAGACAAATTCAATGAAATTCACTTCCTTGCTGACATTGATAGTTTTTTGTCTGAACTGAATTTAAATAGAATACCCGGAGAAAAATTATGTGAGATTGAAGCAGCTGCAAAGAGATTTGCTAAGAATGTGAAACAGACCGCCTCTGATAAAAGATGTTGAAAAAGCCAGAAACTATTTGAAGGACAACAACGGTTTTCTGGCAGTGCCATTTGATAAGGGGGTGGGTTTTTGTGTAATGAAAAAAGAGACTTGAGAAAAAACTGAAAGACTTATTACAGGCAGAACAATTTAGTGAGAGGAAGAATCTGACCGACAGCGTGAGTATGAAAATTGAAAAAGACATAAACAAAGAATTACTCGCCATGAAAAAGAAGGACTAGATTAGCGAAGCGATGTATAATAAGTTGAGATCAACGGGCGTGCAGCCAGTTAGACTGTATGGATTAGCAAAAGTACACAAACAAGGCACACCACTTCGTCCCGTCCTTTCTTTACCTGGTAGCTCATATGACAACCTAAATAAAACATTGGCAAAGTACTTTGATGAAATTGAGGAGGCAAATATAGAAACGAACACTCAAATGGCCAGGGAGATCTTGGAGAAAACTGAGTTGGACTCTGACGAGAGTATAATCTCCCTTGATGTAAAGAGTTTGTACACTAATGTCCCGCTCAAGGAAGCGGTTGAAATAGCCCTGAAGAGATTATATGAGCAAGTCAACCCTCCGGAAACATCTCGCAAGACTAGGAAAAAACTACTGAATTTGGCAGTGAGTAAGGTACACTTTAAATGCAATGGTTAAACCGTATGTACAAAAAGACGGTTTAGCAATGGGCGCCTCCCTTGCAGTAATATTGGCTAATTTGTGGCTCAAAAAATATGAACCTGCATTAAAGAAAGAAGTACCAAAATTGACTGTTCTAAGTGAGGGTAACAAGGAAGATTGCCCTAGATGTCAGAAAAAGGTGACATGTCGGACAAAAGGAGTAGAATGCGAAGCTTGTTTGAATTGGTACCACTTAGGGTGTGATTACATATCGGATTCCGAATACGCAGATATCGCTGAAACAGTATGGTATTGCATGACTTGCAAAAAACAACGGGAAGCAGATCGGACTGTGAATGGTGTTTAAGTTTTTCTAAGATATGTGGACGACATAGTTAGAACGGTCAAGGGTGACCCTGGGGTAGTTCTCGAGGCTGCCAATAAGTTGCATCCAAACATGCAGTTCACCATAGAAAAACTCGGTACTAACGGTAATTTGGCCTTTTTGGACTTAAATGTCAACGTGGATTCAGCAAAAAAGTTCACATGTGGTTGGTACCAAAAACCCACTGATACCGGCACCATTCTAAATTTGCAGTACAAAAGAAACGTTATTGATGGGACGGTTCATAGGGTTTTCAGAAGTACCTCAACATGAGAGTATTTTGACCAGGCATTGGAAAAAAAATCGGAAACTATGGATTGAAAATCAATATCCAAAAAGTTGGTCTGACAGGGTAGTGTTTGAAACTTTTAACAAGATCATTGAGGGAAAGAAAAATTTAGAGGTGAAGGCATCAGAACCGAGAAATGACAAATGGTTGGAAGACTCACCACCCCTTCTCACAATGCAATATCGAGGCAATCAATCTCAACTGTTAGCTGCAAAGGTTCGGCTAATATCCGGGGCACAAATAATTTTTAAAACAAGAAAATTGAAAACATGCTTGCCATCCCTCAAAACTTCCTTTGCTCGTGAACTGAGATCCAAAGTGTTGTACAAGCTTACATGTAGTGGATGTAACTCCACCTATGTCGGTCAGACAGTCCGACATTTAGCCACGAGGGTCGATGAACATCGCAAAGGGGACTCCCCAGTAAGACAACAATTGTTAGAATGTAATAAGGAGGTAGGCGGTACTGCTGAGCTGAAGTCAGAGGTTATAGACCAAACAGCCAACACTCATAAACTACTGACACTAGAGGCTTTGCATTTTGGAGGGAGAGGCCGAAGATCAACACACGCGAGGAATTCAGGAGCCGGAAATTAACACTAAAATTATAGTCTATTTATAACATGGCTAAAATTTAAAAAACTGACATGACAGAATCAAAAATGTTCCCAAATTGAAATTTTTATTATAAGAAAGAACAAAAAACTAAAAAATCTCAGAAATTTACAGGAAAATGTTATTCATGATTACGTAATTATATTACGTTATTATTATTATTATTATTATTATTATTATTATTATTATTATGGATTCAGCTATTAGAGCTTGGGTGTTTCGACCCTTAAGTTTCAGCGTCATGCAAGTTTCCATGTCGAAATATCGTTGTATCTATAGTTTGTCATGAAGTAGTCGTGGTTTGAGTCCCTGATGGTTGCAGCAGTCGATTGAATTTGGTAAGATGTTCACAAGTTTGCAGGTTCTGAGCCAAAACTCCTGTTGGTAGATAGATTTCTTTTTTTTCGGTAGTTCGAAAAAAGGTTTCTCTTTAAACAAAAATACTCTGTGGCATCAATTTTATAATAACCATTTAACATCTTGGACATAAATAGTAGATCCAATAATTGCATATACAAGGTCAGCGGTAAAATGTTGCATTGCATCAGATTTGTTACGTAGTCGTTCCGGCCATTTACCCATGTCAGTGCTTTTTCTTGCCCTTTTTCGATCAATCTAAGCATTTTAATGCTTGCTGCCCAGCAACTTGACCCATATAACAGCACTTGTAAAATCATCGATTTAAATATATTAAGTTTCACGCGCATTGGTAGTCCCTTTGGAGTGTTTCGCTTCAGCATATAAAAGGTTTTAAGGGCTTTGGATATAGTATTGCTTATAGTTTCATTCCATTTCATAATCCGCGAGACTAATAACCCAAGATCTTTCTGTACTTCAACTTCCGGTATTGCAATAAGTAGTATAGATATACGACACTGGGATCGGGGGGGGGGGGGGGTGATCCCTACAGGGATCATTGGGTATAGATTATACCTAATGATCCCTATGTAAATATTTATACCTAATGATCCCTATGTATAAAATTCATAGCAAATGATCCCTATGTAAAATATTTATACCTAATGATCCCTATGTAAAATATTTATACCTAATGATCCCTATGTAAAATATTTATACCTAATGATCCCAATGTATAATTTTTATACTTAATGATCCCAATGTAAAACTTCGGTAAATTATTGAGTATTCCCACTGAACGTTGTGGAAACGGGAATGGAATTAAGTTTTAGTCTGTGCATGTTTTCCCTTCTAAAGTTTGGGGGTATTGGCTCGTTTACATGTAAAAGGACATTATATACCTATTATATGTAATAGGAAAGCATCAGATTTTGGCAGCGTAGCTTAACTGTTGGCTGCGGTTAACGATTTCCTTCAAAAATGCATGTTTTATTGCTGAATCTCAAAGAAAAGAAAATTCATCAATTGCGGCGGCGGCCGCCACCTCTATTTAGGCAAAAGCTAATGATCAATTTAACCAAAATAAGAATGAAAAGTTTCTTTAAGCTAAATGAAAGTAAAAAACAAAGTAAAATTATGCAACACTGAAAACTCTAAAATAATGAAATTGGCTGGAAAATTTCGACATTTCCATTTTCCGTGTCTACAGGAGACTGAAAAATAAACGTCTGAAATCTATGACAAAAGCTTTGATTTTATAGAAAGGTTGAAAGAGCTAATAAGTTGAAGTGGGTTAAGATCTTGAAAAACGAGAACACTGATGAAAGCCAAAAGTGCCCAGAAATATTGTCAAAACTTGTACCTATCTTGTTACTATGAAACTGAAGCGGAACAAAATTTCTTGGGGTCCGAGTAGAGGAAAACGCATGGCGCTCGACTCTCAGCCGAAAGGCGGCGTTTCGAAACCCGTCCGGAAATTGTACTGAAAGGAGGCAACAGTTGCTGTTATGGTGATATCCCCCCATAGATCGATTTTGTATTTTTTCTATAGTAATCTAACTTCTCGGATTACTGCTATTCAGTTAAAAATTGGGTAAAAATGTCAATTACTAAAAAATGTAGTGTTTAAAATGAAATTGAAAAGTGTACAAAACAGCCATATTAAATTGTTAGTTAATGGGTAAGCATGTGAGTTAGGAAACGTTTCAAAACATGATCATTTATGTAAGCAAAATCAGAAGCATCACCATTAAAGTTTTTATCATAAATCAAATGTGAAATATAAATGCAAAAAGAACCGCACATGGTAGAGTTTGAGTCTTGCATGGGAAAGTTTGTCATCAATTCAGTCACCTGATGAAAATTCTCGTTCAATCGTTTATACAGATTGGTGTACTGCCAAAGAGGAAGACCGAGAGGATCAGCGAAATATAAAACATTTCTTCTGTTGCAAATTACAATCCAATGTGTCCCCGGAGAATCTGATTTTGAAGTGTTCACAATCATAAAGATATTGTTTGGGATGTGAGGTGCAAAATTGTCCGCTGCAAATACTCCAAGAAACTTATATTTCAGATGTTTACAGTTCTGAATGAGATCCTGCAACTGAATTTCATCCAATTTTAGACGGTCGAAATTGGAAGGACGTTCTTTGTAACTTTGCGGTCGGAGGTAATAAATACATTGGATGAGCGTATACCCCAAACAAAAATTTCAAGGTTTGCTGTCAACGCGTTTGAGAATTGAAGATCGAGTGAAACTGAGCAGTTAGTAAGTTCTGGATGCAAGAACTCATGAGCTGCCTGCTGTGTGCTAGTGAGATCAAAACACATAATAAAGTGCTGTTGGTAGTTATCCAGAGTGATTCCCAGCCCGCAGTGCAACAAACCTAGCGCTGATAGTGTGTTGAAGAAGAGACGTTTATGACCTTGTGTACTGATTGGTGTACTTGCTATTGGTAAACCGTTCCGTCTCAAGGTAACTTGCTCCAATCCAAACTTTTGATAATGAAAAGTATTCGTTCGGTTTGTTCCTAGAAATGCACTATTTGTGTTCAATGCTATTATAATTTGTCTCACCGGTTCACGAGCAAAAATGTCTTCCTGTTGCCAGCTGCGCTGACCAGCTGTTGCAAGAAATGTTTTTGTAATTTCTTCTTGATATGGGTAGTTCGCAGGAGTTTTGAGCAAAGTTGATTCAATGGCAGAGAGCACATGGTCGGTCACAGTCATTTTTCTAACATATAGGTTCGCTTCGAGTATTTGCAGCTTGTAATGCTTGGCAGCATCTTCAAAAATAATGAGAAAGTCTTCATGAGAACGTCTGTAGGAAAGTCTGAGGGTAACACCGCTCAACAAATGCTTGTCACATGTGAAAAAATCAACTCCAGTGGGTCCATAGAACCAAATTTCCCTCGATTCACGGACCAGTTCTCGTTGAGATGTGAAATCAGCTGCATCTATTGCAGCGGGATTGTTTTCAAAACGATATCCCTGACACTTAAGCCATGAATCCTTGGCTCCTTTGCTGTTAGAAAATTCTGTTCCAATAAAGCTTTTATGCGCAAAATTACTATTGGCATTTGAGATTTTGAGTCCATTAGCAGAGAGGGTACAGTCAGAGAAAAGGGAATACAGGGAGTTGTTTACGAGGAACGGTGAATCAGACACAGTAGGATCAGTGTTGTCGTATCGCAGATCAGCTCCATTTGATTGCGTTACTTTGCATCGTATTTCCATATAAATTTTTTGCAGGTCAACAAAATTATTACGGTCACCGGTGATTTCAAATTCAAGCATTGGTCAATTGGGTTAATAGACAGGTCCAATTTTTTGATCAAAAGCGTTTTCAAAAGTAATCAAAAGAGGTTATTTTTCAAACAAATCCAGA